TATATATCAGCTATATTCCTCATGGAAACTCTGGACATCAGTAGTTAACACTACCAAATACTTTGCACGGTTGTAACATTTCACCAGGATTAGTGTGCTTGTGACTTCATGTATCTCAAGAAAAATGTATCTCACTGTCTTTTGGGGCCTTGCAAGTTTGTGTGGGGGCCCTCATTCCTTCTTCTAGCGAACCTTACCATAAGGAACTCTAAAACTTGAGTCTGGGTGGGGAGGGGGGAGGGATAGCATTAGGAGATACACCTAATGTAAATGACGAGTTAATAGGTGCAGCACACCAACATGGCACATGTATACAAATGTAACAAACCTGCACGTTGTGCACATGTACCCTAGAACTTAAAGTATAATAATAAAATAAAATAAAAACTTGAGTCTGGGTCTTATTTTGCCACAACATAAGCACTGTAACATGTGAGGTATGGTGAGATACAGATGAATTTTAAAAGTGTACATGGCTTATGAAACATTTCATTTAATATAAAACATATTATGGCCAGCTAATTGAAGAGTGCCTGAAATATCTGTCATCATTTTTCATTGATTGAAAATAATCTGGTTTATCTAAAAACAGGGAAAAAAACATAATGATGTAACAGCAACAACCACATTTTACTTATTCACACTGGAGACTAGAATTTGCAACATATACGTTTCCCTAAAAATACCAAGAAATGTTTGGGGCAAATTCTCTGCTCATCAGGATTTCATGTAACCACACATGTGAAAATCTAAGAGGGGGGAAGATGGTGGAGTAGAAAGCACCAGCAATCTTCCCCACCCAGACAACAACTGCATTAGCAACATCTTCCTGCTATAACTATTTTGAAACTATTTTGGAATCTATTGAAGCTTGCAACTTCTAAGGGAAGGCGTGGATATTAAATAGTAGTTAATTTTGGTCAATTTCAGCTCTTAGCAGAGTAGCAGCTACCCATCCCCCACCTCTCAGTCACATGGTAGGCAGCTGTGCCCATGTTCCCGCAGCAAACTGCACATAGCTTGAGGGAGCCAGGGTGGGCAGAAACAAAGACCCTGACCCTCCAAATATCAAGGATCTGTGCTCTGATCACTGATTGCTGGTTCTCATCACAGAAGTGCAGACAAAGAGGCTGAGAGTCACTGTTATTATATCTCCCTCCAATGTTGCAAGCCCCTCTCCCTTGGGCTGAAGTGACCTCCAGGTAATTTAAAGGGCCAGCACCTCCCCCATTACTTTTTTGCTTTTTTCCCTTTTAGAAGTCCGATATTAAAGACTAGGACATTCAAAAACAAACACACATATAGGGGAAAATAGAAATGACCATGGATGCCCAGAGGAAGGCTCAGAAAAGACCTGAGAAGCCAGGAGTGCTAGCTCATGCCTGTAATCCTAGCACTTTGGGAGGCCAAGGCAGGGAGATCACCCTGAGGTCGGAGTTCCAGACCAGCCTAGCCAACACGGTGAAACAATGTTTCTACTAACAATACAAAAAATTAGCTGGGTGTGGTGGCGCATGCCTGTAATCCCAGCTATTTGGGTGGCTGAGGCACAAGAATTGCTTGAATCTGGGAGGTGGAGGCTGCAGTGAGCCACGATTGCACCACTGCACTCCAGCCTGGGTGACAGAGTGAGAGTCTGTCTTAAAAAAAAAAAAGAGGTTGGGCGCAGTGGCTCACGCCTGTAATCCCAGCACTTTGGGAGGCTGAGGCTGGCGGATCACGAGGTCAGGAGTTTGAGACCAGCCTAGACAACATGGTGAAACCCCGTCTGTACTAAAAATTCAAAAATCAGCGGGGCATGGTGGCAGGTGCCTGTAATCCTAGCTACTTGGGAGGCTGAGGCAGGAGAATCACTTGAATTCAGGAAGCAGAGGTTGCAGTGAGCTGAGATCACACTGTTTGCACTCCAGCCTGGGTGACAGAGCGAGACTCTGTCAAAAAAAAAAAAAAAAAAAGAAAGAAAGAAAAAGACTTGAGGAGACCTTACATTTATACCTCAGGCTTATATTATCCTCAGCATACACATAGTATACAACCATCAAATAAGTAAACAAAAACAGCGAACCCAGGGGAGGGGGAGAATCTGATTTCTAGATACCACACTGTTAGATTCAAACATTCACTTTTCAACAACAAAAAAAAATCACAAAACATATGAAGAAAGAGGAAAATATGGCCCAGTCAAAGGAAGAAAAATAAGTCAACAGAAACAGTCCCTGAAAGAGACCTGATGGCAAAGACTTTAAAACAACTGTCTTAAAGATGCTCAAAGAACTAAAGGAAGAAGTGAAGAACATCAAGATAATGATGTATGAACAAAATGGAAATATCAGTAAAGAGACAGAAAACTTAAAAAGATACCATAAACCCCCGAACTGAAAAGTACAATAATC